TTGATAGGTAAACTTTTTTGCTTGATTTGGATGCTCAACTTGATAAAGTCCATCCTTAAGCTTCCCTTCCAACAACACCTCATTCGTTTGTTTGTCCTTCATAACATAGAAATCAAAGTAAAATTCCATGAATACACTATTATCAGATGTTAATTGAGATACATTTATCAGATTTTTCTTAATTGAAGGCACCAGTAATGCATTACTGAGAACTAGTGGCTTGTCTTCAGTGTGCTTAAGTGATTGGTACCAATATGCGAAATGTGCAGTTTATTACCATTACCAACAGTGAGTTTTTCATTACCACCATATTCATGTGCCTTAGACAAATTCTTCATCTCAGCTGTTACATAGTTGCTAGCTCCTGAATCTGCAAACCAAGATGGATCTACAACAATGTTGGAAGAAGCTATAAGGGCTGCTGGTTTTGAGAAGTTGTTTTGATGGTGCTGATTAGGTCTTGTACCCATATACCTTTCATCATAGCGGTTGAAGCACTTGTCAGCTGAATGATTGTTCATTTATTGTTGTAGTTTCTTCCTCCAAACTAAAATCTACCTCCTCTGTTGGTATTTGATTTGTTCACTAAATTTGTTGAAGAGTAACTCAAGTTAACGAGGCTAAGTTGTTTTTCACAGCATTAAGGTGCTCAGTTCGACTCTCAAAGGTCATCAGTACAGATTGCAACTCATGCCAAGAGATGGGCTCTCTGCCGTTGATTTGAACAACTATGGGTGTGTACTCTTCATCAAGTCCAGCAAGCACTTGTGTAGCAAGATCATTGTGAAGGATGTTTTTTCCTGCAATTTCTAGGTTGTCTGCTAGTTGCTTGATTATATTTAAGTGCTGATCAATGCTCATCAAGCCATTCCTTGTCCTTTAAAGTTCACTTAGGAGAAATGTGTCTCTCGACTTATTCATCACCCCAAAGTTTCCTTGGACAACATTACATAGGTTGTGAGATGTTGTGGATCCCATCACTCTCATGGCAATCTCGACGGTTATAGAAGAGTAGAGCTAACCAATCAGTAGCTGATCTGTGGACATCCATTTCCCATACTTAGTGTTTGGTGTAATTTCAACGATAACACCAGCATGACCTATAGTTTGTACTGCTAGAAACTCAGTTCGACAGACCATCGTTCCTGTGATGAATCCTTCAAAGTTGTGCCCCTTGATGATGGGCATAATCATGTTTTTCCATAGCAGAAAATTATTTATATCAAGTTTCACTGGAGGTACTTGAGTAAGGCTTATACCAAACATTGGTGTCTGATTTCCTCCCAACACTGAAGGCATCATCGTGCTTGATTCTGGCTGGGCTGATTACGTGCTAACATTGGATTCGGTGTTAGCCATTAAATGGCTCTGATACCAAGTTAAACTTTGTTAAGAATTGATAAAGCTGAAATTGGCAAGGATGAAGAGAGCTTAAAGGTAAATTGCATAATTATCTTTCACTTGCAAATAATTACATGAATGTGATAAATATATACTGATATTTTGAGTGGTGAACAAGTAAAAATTGTAACTAATTACATGTGCAATTCACATGAGCGTAGTTTACAGTTATAACAATCAATCATTGCACCATAGGTGCACATTAGCATCAGGCAGCATCAATGTGAATTTTGTCGGTCATCACATGAAAGAAGTTGTCATCTAATGGTGTGAGTATACATTTTAACAGAGTTTCATTAACAATCCCAGCTCTGAAAATCATAACCCACCAAATCTCTTCATACAACATACAAGTTTCCATTTAATCTAATGGATTTTTAGGTTTCATTGGTCACACGACCACCACCAAAAAGGTTGACAATGGTTTGAAGATCAGCCCATATAGATGATGGCAATCAAGAGATGCTCATTACATATGTTAGGATAGCTTGTAATTTTGCTTTAATCGATACTTCTCTACCCCCTTTCGAAAATAAGCCCTAACGCCACCCTTACACCTGAAAGTTCTAAAACTTAGATAAGTTAAAAATAATAATTTGATTTAAATTTTATAACTTCGGAAAGCAGGGAGTCATCAAGTCTGGTATTGAGTTGAAAAATCAAAAGCAGAGTAGGAACTATAATAAGTTTCTAATGGTTCTGAGTGGTACATACAGATAGTTGTGTTTGTGATGATAATTCAAGTGAATGTGCAATTTAATTAACAGCGTAGAACATAAACAAAAAATATAACGTGCTAAACCCCAAATGAAAACATTCATGGGCCCTCATGCCACGGGTCAAACAATCAAGTAATGATTTGATAAAAAATACAATAGTATCCGATTTTTGTAATTTCACGAAAGTAACAAAAGAACAATCAAAAGAACTAAGAACAACTCCATTTGTTTTTTCTTCTTTTGACTTGTTGATGAAGTGGAATCAAACATATCGGTCTTTGACTTTATCAGTCTCCCCTATTGTACTCAGTCACAATCACCACTTGGATTAAGAATCCCCGTTCTTAACTTCATGCTGAATAACTCGATCAAAAGATGCTATTTTACTTTAAATACCAACTTGAAGAAAATGTTGACTTTGAACTTTCTATACGGTAATTATCAAAATAAGGAATTAATTCTTACCTAATAATCATCAATAAAAATTGTAAGAGAATTAGTATAAAAATATGCAAAAATATTTTCTAGATTTGTAGTAAATTAATATTAGGGTAAGTTGATATAAAGAAAGATAATTTTAGTTTTTAACTTATCCTTATATTCCCATGTTAGACAAATTTGAAAGTATTTAGGATGGTATAAAATCTAATTTACATGAGTCGTAATTGTATAACAAGAAAACATATCATGTTATATACAAAATACTATAAAAATCGCAGTTTAAACATCTAATCGAACCACTAAACCGTTTAAACATATCATCTGAAAAATTAATATTATTTTAGTATGTTATTTTCTTATCCCCAATTGAATTTTACCATCACAAAATTTAATTTTTATTTTATTTTATTTCTTTATATCAACGGATTAGCAATGGAAGTATTACCAACGGAATTATCATGTTACTAAATTCGTTTGTAATTTCATTTCATTATTGAAAAATAATTCGTGAGTAATCGGTTAGCATTCCATTGCTATTGGCAACCAACATTGCCGCAGGTAATACTAATTCACACACCCTTATTACAATAATAAATAAAAATTAATTTAAAAGTCATGATCAAATTATCTATCCACCCAGCAAAAATATATAGGATCATTCATATTAAATTATACTCTTTTTCTATCGCCTCACGATCTTTCAATCAAGTTAGAATCTTGGAACAAGATTTTATTTTTTGGGTAAATTTCATGTGCAGTCACTGAACTTTGAGCGAAATCTTAATTGGGTTATCAAAACTTTGATTAGATCAAATTTGACAGAATCTGTGAAAAAGGACCAATATTGCACAAAATCATTAGATTGAGGGTGTCCATGAAAATATAGAAGAAGTTGGACCATAGATTATGAATTACCCATGCAAAATTACTTTAACCAGAGGAAACTTTTTTTTTTTTTTTCTTTTTCCATTTTAATGCAATATTTGCTTTAATCGAAATATATAAAGAAAATGGAACGTCATTTAACCGATCCAATACATTAAACAACACTTCTTTTTGTTTAAAGAAAATGTTTGCTATGTAATATTTGATTATGTCGAACATAAAAATATATAGAGAAAATTGTACACTTAGTTTTCAATCTATATTCGAGTAACAAGTTAGTTATCAATTTTTAAAAATAAACCAAATTAGTCCATAATCTTTCGTTATAGTTACAAATAGCTCCTCGATGAGAAAACCATCTAGATATGTGCTTATTTTGGATTTGTTTATAAGTTACTGAAATTAGAATCAAATAGAAATGAATTATCGATAAATGGATAGTTGTTGTGGTCCTCCGAAATATTTGGTTGAAATTAAAATTTGACTTTAACATTTAAATTATAACGTGTTATAAGTTTTTTCATACAAGCACCAAGTAATCATATGACATTTATATCTTAAACTTTAGAATAATGCTATCTAGCACCATTAGTGCTCAAACACGAGTTTAGGTGGCGTAAAGTTATACGCTCAATGAGACAGATTTAAGTGATTCATTTAATTACATCTCTCATTTATGAGTAATGCTATTTAGTACAATTGGTGTTTAACACCAATTTAGATGACAGCACAATAAACAGTAAATTGCATGTTCAATTAAATATAATGAATTATACAAATTTAGTAAGATATATAATATGTTGATATTTAAATTGATGTTCAACACCACTGGTATTAGATAGTATTATCCCTCGTTTAGTATTACATTAGTGCTGCCTAAATTGATATTTTAATACCAGTAGTGCTAAATTGCATTACTTTTAACTTTATGAAGCTTTTAAATTTTGATTTCAACTTAGGTTAGAAACACACGACAATTTAACAGAGATTTTGTATGCTTTTGTTGTGGAGGACTAATTATTAAGAGTTTGTTTGGTAAAGATTAAAATCGGATTAAAATTGAAAAATTATTCGTTGTTGTTGACTTTTATTAGACGAGTGAGACCCAATAACGACTATATTTTCAATTTTAATTGCTACCAAACAAGCTCTAAAGGTCGAGAACTAAGTCACTCATTTTTAAAATGTTTAAGATTACTTGCCACTCAAAGAATAGATTGAGAACCAATGCTGCAAAATTTCCAAATAATATAATTTTCGACTTTTTTTTGTTTGTTTATAATTAATTCTGTAACGTAAGTTCATCTACCAAAACCACCTATGTACAGCGAATGAGATTTTCAATTCTCTCTCTCTCTCTGTCTCTCTTCAGACATCCGCCTTTGGCCTTTTCGAAATCTTTTTCTTACAAATAAAACAAAAGCAACCGCACACTCCATTTCAGTTTCAGTCTCGTATTTCTACCCCAAAACTCCCATGCCCAACTTTCATACACTCTATTGAGACCTTAATCAAGAAAACCCAACAAGAAATTGAACAACCCAGTAAAAATTGATGCCAGAAATCGAACTAGAATCCCGAGAACAGCAAGACCCAGTAGAAATGTTCATGACTTTAGACAACTGGCCGACGCCAACTCAAAATGATGCCATCGATGAGGGTTCCTCTTCCTCCCCTGTCTCAACTTCTACTGACACATACTTGGTGGGTTTCGTGATCGTGAATGTTGTGGGCCTGCAGTATTACCAAGGTAGGATTAGCGGTCGCGAAATGGTGGGTTTAGTCCGTGAGGAATTGAACCCGTATGATGAGAATGCCATTAAAGTTCTCAACACGAGGACGGTGCAGGTGGGTCACATTGAGCGTGGTGCCGCAGCCGTTTTGTCTCCCTTGATCGATGACCATTCGATCACTGTTGAAGGTAATCAATTTAATTTACGAATTTGTAAGTACATGTGATTTGATTTAGGATATGGGTAGGTATGTTTCGATGTGTATATGCACATGTCTAATAGTACAAGTACCGACGGATACGGTCTGAAATCAGGAGAGTAGTATTCTAGTAATTCCATCAATTTTGATCACATTGAGCTTTAAAAGCTTGTACTTTACTTTGGTCGATGAGTAGCTGGAACTGCTCCTTAGTTTTGGTTACATGTACATATATCCTGAAACATACATATTTGCGCATTTATGCTTGTATCTATTACCGAATGCATATTAGTTTATTTTACAGATGTATAGATTGACACGGACTTAGAGAATGACAGTCGTGAGTGGCGTTCAAATGTAGTATTGAAGCTTATGAACTGTGCTTACATGTAGTAAATGAGCCTTAAAATTTTTTGAAACTTTCTCTGGCTTGATGAAGCTCCATTAGAATTTATGTAGAATGTGGGGTCTAGGATATTACATCAAAAAGGTTTTACCTTGAACTTGCAAGAGCAGACCTGCTCTGAACTGTCATTTCTCTAGTGCTTGGAGCCTTATACAATTTGGTGCACTGACATTGATAATACGTCCTTCTTTTCCTTTTACTTTCAGATTTTGTGAGTTAAAATGCACATATTTGTTCTTTTTAAAAGTTTTGTTTGATTGTAGATCTTTTTGTTCAACTTTAGTTGTTATTACATTACTTAATATTTAATTTCCTTGATTTTATGTTTAACGTTTAATAATGTACTGGGTATGAAACAGGCATCGTGCCAAAGCCACCAGGGAAAGGAAGCAGATTTAAGATTCCCTGTCAAGTTCACATATTTGCTAGGATAGAGGAATTCGAAAGAGTAAAATTGACAATTGCTAGAGGTGGATTACAATTGATTTCGGAAACCAGTGCATCTTTTACATTATCGGAGGCAGTAGCAGTGAAAGAAACAAAAAGTACTTTTGAGGCGAAGAGTGTGGATGAAATGTTCAAAATGCTGGACATGAAAGTTTGTAACAAAGGGACGTTGGAAGCGTTGGAGCCACCAAAAGACGTGATAAAATCAGATCTTTTTTTGCATCAAAAGGAAGGATTAGGCTGGTTGGTTAGCAGGGAGAATTCGTGTGAGCTACCTCCATTTTGGGAAGAAAAAAATGGGGTTTACGTGAATGAGTTGACTAATTACCAAACTGATACAAGACCTGAGCCTATACGAGGTGGCATTTTTGCAGATGACATGGGATTGGGCAAAACTCTCACCTTGCTCTCGTTGATTGCTTTTGATAAACATGCTCATGATGTGCATGCATTTGCTAATACTAGCAACATAGAGGATAAGAAAGATGAGCAATTAGATGAAGAGGAACCCATTGTAATATTTGGTCAAAAGTCAAAGAGGGGAAGAGGGAGCAAAAAGCCTACTAATACGCAGAAAAAACAAAAAATTGACAATCACAATGCCAGCACAAGGGGGAAATCAGTTTTTAGCACAAGGGGGAAATCAGTTTTTACTTCAGATAAATCTTATGATTGTGTGGGGCCGAGAACAACATTGATTGTTTGTCCACCTTCTGTATTTTCATCGTGGATAACGCAGTTGGAAGAGCACACGTTACGGGGCAGTTTGAAGGTGTATATGTATTATGGAGAACGGACTAAAGATGCTAAAGAGCTTCAGAAGTATGATATTGTACTAACAACCTACACTACCTTGTCTTCTGAGGAATCCTGGGAGCAATCTCCTATTAAGAAGATTGAGTGGAGACGAGTTATTTTAGATGAAGCTCATGTGATTAAGAATGTGAATTCTCAACAAAGTCGTGCAGTCACTAATCTGAATGCTAAGCGGAGGTGGGTTGTTACTGGGACACCTGTACAAAATAACTCTTTCGATTTGTTCTCCTTAATGGCATTTTTGAAGTTTGAGCCATTCTCAATTAAAGGCCTCTGGAGTAGTTTGATACAACGCCCACTTGCTCAAGGAGATGAGAAGGGTATCTCTAGGCTGCAGGTCAGGACATCTTACACAATCTCTAGTACTAGAATTGAATATTGGGTCTTCATGTTTTGCTTGTTCGATTTGCCTCTTCCCCTGATTCTCTTACACTTAAATAAGATTAAAATAAATCATTTATTTAATTATTACAATCTAACTTTGATGTAGATGTTCGTTTTTGTGGAGAAATATTATGTTTTCCTAGCCTATAAAGTGTGCTATCTGAGCATTCCCATTGCATGTATGCATTTGACTAGAGCATAAAATGGAAATAATAAATGTATTTTTAACTGAGTATTCATTAGACAGTTCATGATATTGGGATTTAGGATGTTGAAAATTTTCAGTCATTTGTAATAGTTTTAAGAATTGATGGCAGATCATGTTTGAGTGTATCCCCTGCTCAAAATTTGTTTAGTTCATTCATGTCTTGTTTCTCTTACATTAATAAAGTTTATCTATGCTCCTCCCGCCAGAGTAGTTGAATAGTTGCCATATAAGTGAATTCAGTTCTTAAAATAGTTATGTTGTATGGATTATGAAATTATAAACATAAATTAAGACTTATAAGGCTCTAGTACCTTGCTGGATTCAATATATTGAAGAATTTCATTGTGTGGAATATAAATGACAGGAATGAATAAGGTATCTATGGGTGTACCTTACTGGATCTGTGAGAAACCTGAATCCTGAAGCTCTAATTTACCAGCTCACACCAGAAGTATATATTACTTTTTTCTTTGATTTCTGGAGAGATTATTTTTGCATCTGGAGAATGAAAAAGAATGAGCAAAAATTATGAGATATGTTAAGCCCCTATTTGGGCTCTATTAAAAATAGATTTTGGGGGAAAATGTGTTTGGAATAGTGATTTTTTGGAGAATGTGAGGTTGAGAAATAAGTGAGAGTTTGGATTTACGTGTAATATTATTTTATTGGAGAATGTCTGGTTGAAAATAAGGAAGAGAAAAATGCATTTTTTTTCGAAAATGGAGCCCAAACAGGGGCTAAATCAGCTTCTGATAATTTCTTTGGAGTTACAAGTTTGGAGCGTGATGCTTGCTCCATCTCTCTTTCCTTTGTTTTCCAAGTTGTAATTGTAACCCAACTATTAAGAAGTTGTATCTAATGTTATAATGCGACTCCTATTTTCTTTTAGGTTCTAATGGGAACAATGTCTTTGAGGAGAACAAAAGAGAAAGGTTTGGTTTGTTTGCCATCTAAAAGCATAGAGACCTTCTTCGTGAACCTCTCTGAAGAAGAGCGTGAGGTTTATGATCAGATGGAAGGGGAGGCCAAGAATATTGTTCAGGAATACATTTTGGATGACAATGTAATGAGAAACTATTATACTGTGCTCAGCATACTTTTACGACTTCGTCAAATTTGCACGGATATGGCCTTGTGCCCTTCAGATCTTAAAGCTCTACTTCCACCAAGCAAAATTGAAGGTAATTGTTCCATTTGTGTTTTATCCATGTTGCATGCTCCCATTATTAGTTGAATAATTGGAACCAAAACCATCTGCCTTCCATTGTCTTTGCCTTTCTTTGATCTTCCATAACTGCCCTTTCTTTCGATGATTTTACATTTGATCATAAAAGTCGAGGAGGACATTTGAAGTGTACTTCCTAGTATTGTATGAAGCCTATGACAAAAAAAGTTTTGGACGAGGACTGCAATGTCCTTTCTAAGACTGAATGGGAAGCAATAAAAAATTGGTAATACTCGTGGGTCAAATCATTCATTGAAGTGTTAATCTGTGGTTGTTTAACTCTTGAAAATGTAGGAGTAGTTAGGAGAGATGTATCTTTGAACTGGAACTTGTTATCATAAACTTGTACAAATGATGTTTATCGATACTTGATTATGGGAACTTACAATAGAAGTATTCCATGTTTTCGATTATTGGCTACTTTTGAAGGATGCAAAGGGTGGCAATGTTTTCTTGGGGAAAATAGGAATGGCAACAGAGTTGGTTTGGGCTAGGACCCATTCCTGTCCCGCTAGGGATTTCCCGTCCCTCCCTGCCCCATCCCGCTTATGCAGGAGCAGGGCTGGGAACCCCCTTGGTCCATTTATCCCCGGTTTAACTATTTTTTTTAATTTTCATTATTAAATTTTAAATATTAAATTAATTTATTATTGTTAAATGTTAAATATATAAAAACTAAATACTTAAATAATTGAAACACTGAAAAAATAAGGCAAAACTACGTTACTTATAAACTTCCATTTTCTAATATGAATAATAGTTTTTCGATGTGGGACAAAATTAAAGCCCAACTAAGCTCCTGTTTGATTCTCTTTAAATTAAAATTCTTTATTTCTATTACTCATTTTTAACTATACATTCACACAGTGAATTATTCTACACGTGAACCTATAACTTTTCCTACTTTTATTAATCACACATTCTCCGAAAAATCACTATTCAAAAATCATTGTTCTCCGATTTCTCTTTATAATGGCTATCAAACAGGGGCTAAAGTCCCAACACAAAGCCTATAAATGCGTTAGAAAGATCCCACGTCCGATTGTTTAAATAAATGTGTTAAAAGAAAAGTCTATAAAATGACTTATTATTAAGCCCTAATTTGGCCCCCAATATTTGAAATTTGAATGGTTGGAATATTAGTATTTTTAGAAAATGTGTGGTTTAAAAAAAAAGGAAAAAGTTTTGGAATTACGTGTAATATTTTTTTATGGGAGAATGTATGGTTGATAAGTAGAGAGAAAAAATGAATTATAATTTTAATTGGGGCCAAATGGGGGCTAAATAAATAATGGGTTTTACCTTTGAATGGGCCATGAATTGGATTGCAGTCTTCTAATTTTTAGTCCATGAGTACAATTTTTGTATTTGTATTTGTATTATAAATATAATGTAATAATTTAAATAAAATATATTTACTGATCATGGCACGGACCATGTCCCCTGCCTCGGTCCCTGATTAGTTGGAAAATCCTGGCTCCGTTCTGTTCAGATCCCGGCGGGGATCTAGGATTTCTGACCTGTTGCCATCTTCGGAAAAAGGCTTTTCTGTGATAATATTGTCCGTATTTGCATGCTTGATAATCATTTTTATGACAGTTTCATGCTTCTGATTTTGGTGTGATGAACATATTTACTACGTATATATCTTGTAGTATAACTCTGTACTAACCGAGTTTTGGCAGATGTGAAGAACAACCCAACATTATTGGAAAAATTGCTATCAGTGTTACAAGATGGGGAAGATTTTGACTGTCCAATTTGCATATCTCCACCTACTAATACTGTCATTACATGTTGTGCTCACATCTTTTGTCGAGCATGCATCCTGAAAACCTTAAAACGTACGAAAGCTTGCTGTCCATTATGCCGCCACTCGCTTTCAGAATCTGACCTCTTTAAAGCCCCTCCAGAATCTTCCAATACTACTACTATAGATTCCTCATTGAGTAAATCATCCAAAGTTGATGCCCTCTTGAAACTTCTATCAGCCTCTAGAGATCAAAGCCCATCTACTAAGTCAGTCATCTTCTCGCAATTTCGGAAAATGCTGCTTTTACTGGAACAGCCTCTCATAGCAGCTGGTTTTAAACTACTCCGGTTGGATGGTTCAATGAGTGCAAAACGAAGAGCACAAGTTATTAAAGAGTTTGGAGTTCCAGCACCAGAAGGGCCAACTATTTTACTTGCGAGTTTAAAAGCTTCAGGTGCAGGAATAAATCTTACTGCTGCTTCTAGAGTATACTTGATGGAGCCATGGTGGAATCCTGCAATCGAGGAACAGGCTATGGACCGAGTCCATCGAATTGGCCAAAAGGATGATGTAAAGATTGTAAGAATGATTGCTCGAGATACCATTGAAGAGAGGATATTGCAGCTTCAAGAGAAGAAGAAAGTGCTTGCAAGGAAAGCTTTTGGCAGGAAGGGCCCAAAAGATCAGAGGGAGATCAGCAGAGATGATCTTCGTGCCTTGATGAACTTGAGTTGCGCTTGCTCTTAAACATCGAAATGCATGTTTCCTATGCCCCCACATTTTCACCATATATGAATCTCTGACTTTTGAAAGTTTCGATAGTTTATCCATCCTTGGGTTGTAATTCTGAAGTTTCTGTCAGATGCAAAATGGAAAACAATGGAGAACAGGATTTATATCCTTGCTGTGGATATATGGTTATATGGTGCTCAATGAAATGCAGACAAGGGTTATTAAAATTATTTTGAGTTTTTGCCATTGATTATAGGATTAAATAGTCAGTTGTTTGGCAATGTTCTTTTGAATGCAGTCTCTGTTGAATATGCTAATCCTGAATCATGAATGCTAGCGATTGGTAGTCATGCTTTGAAGAATACAGCAAATAGATGCAAAGTCCGCACTATACAGTTTTTTTGTAAGATAGTTGTAGCAAGTATTACTTAGCCCTTGTAAAAAACTTTTTTTTTTTTTTTTTAAATTCATTTTCAACCACACTTTTGTATAATAAAATTTTTTTCACGTAATTCCAAAATTTTTTCCTATTTTTTAACAATACATTCTCAAAAAATCACTGTTCCAAAATTCATTTTTTGTAAGGAACCTTTTTTAATGGTTGTTAAATAGGGACTCAAGTAAAGATGCCAACTATGCTGTGACAACTTCATCGTAAGATGGCCTTTTTTTAAGCATGTTGTGCTAGGCCCATTGTTCTAAAAAGCTCGTCTAGGCACCGTCTAGGCCTAAAGTTTGGACAAAACGTCTCGTTTCGCACCTAAACAATTTTTTTTCCCAATTCCTATATGATTGAATTTTTTTCATTCCTTTCTTTCTTCTTTCGTCTAACCATAGCAGTGGGCTGCACTTGGCTGTAGCCCATTGTTGCCCAAGTCCAGATCCACTAAAAATGGTATATTTAGATGAAAATTAGTTTTAACTTTAATCTATAGCTGACTAACAATCCATATCACTTGGCTCGCCCAATCAATTCTTAAGCTAATTATTTGTTGAGGAAATTACACCTACACCTGTTTTTAGATTTCCAATTTCACAAATAATGTTACAAGTTTAACATTTCAAAAATCAGGTTTTAATTAAAAATTTAAAAACTTTTTTTTATATAATTAATCTAATCAAACCCTAGGAACAAACCCTCCCCATTCTCTCTCCCATTTCTACCCGTC